AAAGCGAAGAATCTGATCGGCGATCCTTCGGAACGCGGGCGAGCCGTATGCAACACGACTGCCGTCAAGTATTATTTTCTTTCGCGTTGTTCCGTTACGCGATGTGCAAAGTTTACGATGTGCAATCTCGCAGATAAGATAGAACACGACGCGTTTAAATTTAAACAAACAAATCACCGAGGCAGATGAATCCGCGCGAGATCGCGGGAGCGCGCGGCGCCGGTCGTTTTAATCCTTCAACCGGGAACCGCCGCGTGTACAACGCTTTACGTGTAACGGCGACGGCGAAATGAACGCGACTGAAATTCGTTTCGGTCGGTGCATGAATTATTTTATATCCGACGATGAATGCCGTCCCCGTGTAACCAATTTTTGTTTCCCGACGCGCGTTTATCGATCAAACGAACACCGAGGAGACAATCATATTTCATGCCCCGATGATATAACATTGGGAAATAATAAACGCACCGAAGCCGCGGTTTAACGCGCGTCCAGCGCGCGCGAGCGGAAAGTTTGTTTAAACTCATCTTCGCCGAAGCAACTTTTCATGTTTACTGTCATTATGTATAAATAGAACGCACACTTCATTACATTTGCATACGCTCTCTGTCAGATCGCATTTGCATCTGTCGGCACGTTCATCCTTCGAACTTTCTCGCGTGAATGAAACTCGACTGTTATATCGGGGAAATAATGCCCTCGAAGTGGACGCATTGTTGTGTGTGTCGTTGCTTGTGTTTTTTTTTCTCGATTCTTGGGTATACGGTAACTTCTTACGCGGATCAATAGCTTTACGACTCGTCACGGATGGCTCAAATCGAAAAAAGCGACAGAATGGCGGTCCGTGACCTATGATACCGGTTCCCAGGAGAAAAATTACCGGTCCCGGAAAACATTCGCGGAGCGGAATAAAACTACAAAGCGAAGGCAGACGTGATATTTTTAATGCTGCCAGTTGCTTTTTGCGGCTTACTTTCACGGCATCCACAAATATTCTCGGCCTTCGCGGTAAATGCCTTTAAATTACTTATGCTCCGTCCGAAGTAAGAATCATTGTCGCGCGAGATACATGACTTCATCTTCGAAGTATTGAAATATAGAAATGGAATACTAAAAAACTTGAAATAATACATTGAACATCTTTGAAATATATTTTAATGCGTCCGGCAGTTCTTTTACCCCTTTGCGGTCCGAAAAATTTTCAGTTCCTCACTCTGGAACTTTAACCCTTTAACCTGTGATTCCTTTTATACCTACTTCGACGATAACTGCTTCGACATTAATCATTTGCCAGAAACGAAAGAGAATTCCGTATTTATCTATACCTGCGTTTACATTAAAGCGTAAGAATTGCTAACGGAATCGTAATATTTCATTTGAGCTCGAGAGAACTGAGATTCAATTACTTTTGTTAATTTTAGATGTTCATCGCGAGTCCGACGCGGTATTGTATGGAAAGGGGTTAATCGTTTATTTGAGGACACTCGAGAATCGAAATTGTACTCGCATCTAACATCATCGTCGTATCGCAAATAACTGCGGCGAAAATTCATCGACCGCTCGACTATTCGAACAAATCGAATGCCCAGTCCAATTCTCGGCGTAAGATCGCAAACGGTTAAGGTAAATCTTCGCGAGCGTAAAGATGGAGCCGGCGCGCGTACGAGCACGGGCAACGTGACGCGCACGTGTCTCGCGTTTCGTTCGCGCCGCGTTTCGAAATCGAAACGGATAGTGAACGCGTTAATTGTTATTTATTCCGACCCTAAATTCCGACGCTAAGAACCGTCGAACGTCCCGTTTCAACGGTCTCACGCATCGGCAACGACAATTCCTGCCATTCCGTTCGTTCCATTCGTTCCCTCGTCCCCGATAGTTTCTTCGTTAAAATTGTTATGTAATTGACTAGATAATAATCAGCGATCGCGACGCGCGGCCATCGTATCGCGCTCGGCTAAAATGAAAATTACCGCTTCGACGACGCGGCCGTTCGTAATGCCTTTTGAAAAAATTATTCGCGTAACGCAACGGAGCGAATGAATTTATACCGCGAAAACCAACCCGTATTCAGCGATTAACCGGCTTGTTAATCGTCGGTGTCAATTACAATAAAATAATCGATGTCGAATACAAATATTTAGCGATTTAACTACATAATAATCAACCGCTAAGTGCTGAACCTCTAATATACGAACTCCTAATTATAGAACTATTGTGACTTCTATTATAACGTAGAATCTCGGTTATACGAACTAATCGCAAATAAGATGATTCCAGTGAATAAAATAATCGATGTCGAATACAAATATTTAGCAATGTAACTACATAATCAACCACTGAATGCCGAACCTCTAATATACGAACTCCTAATTATAGAACTATTGTGACTTCTATTATAACGTAGAATCTCGGTTATACGAACTAATCGCAAATAAGATGATTTCAGTGAATAAAATAATCGATGTCGAATATAAATATTTAGCGATGTAACTACATAATAATCAACCACTGAATGCCGAACCTCTAATATACGAACTCCTAATTATAGAACTATTGTGACTTCTATTATAACGTAGAATCTCGATTATCCGAACTAATCGCAAATAAGATGATTCCAGTGAATAAAATAATCGATGTCGAATACAAATATTTAGCAATGTAACTACATAATCAACCACTAAATGTCGAACGTCTAATATACGAACTCCTAATTAAAGAACTTTTATTGTGACTTCTATAACATAAAATCTCAGTTATCCAAACTAATCGAAAATAAGACATAAATAACAGTTAATAAATGTACAGTTCGGATAATAGAATAATAGAACGATACATCATTGATTCGGATAATCGAGGTTTTATTGTATATGGTAAGAGGTGTGATATGAAAAAAAAATCTAATAATTGTTTTTAGTATTGTTTATCTTTGCAACGAAGAGATAAGCGATAAAACGTCCAAGATTCTCGTGCAAGTGAACGTGTTGAACAGGAAACCCGAAATGGATCCGGTCTAATGGTTCTAGCGTTAAAAAGAAGCGCACCGCTCGCGATCGCGACTAATGTTTTTCGGGCGTTACATTGGACGTACTCTTTGCCGCTTCGTCGGTTAGAAAGAAAATATTGCCGTCGAATTTCCATTGAGCGCCGAACCAACGGCGAGGCTGACGTAACGTTAGGAGTATTAATTGCGATGAACGCGTCGAAGAGAAAACGAACGTCCCGACGAAGCACCTGGCATCGATCACGATTATCTTCGTAATAACTCGTAATTCGATGTAAAGAAGCGACACCGGTACCAGTCGAGAGAGAAAAAGGGACATCAATTAGATTAACAGGAATAGCACGAGACATCTGTTCCTTTTTTTTATCGTTAACGAACCGACGAAAAGAATGCTACGAAAGTTTACGCGTTTACGTTGTAAACGCGTCTCCTAACCTGCAAAGTTCAGGGAAGTTAAGATGTCGAAAAGTAACGCGATGTTATTGCGAGTAGAATACTACCAAGGTTCCTCTTCTGTAAATTAATATTTGAAACTGTGAATCGTAGAGATCCGTTACGACAAGTACAAGTTTAAAAAACTATAGTTTATTAACTCGATTAGCTTAGACGTAGGGAAAAATGACGAGCTGTAGTAGAAGGGAATGTAAAGATGATGAAAATTGATCGACGAAATTTATAGGTTTTTTATCAACGATTTCCGAAAGAATTGCCAGGTAAAAAACGCGGGATTAACGGCGACATTCAAAACGGTTGACCCATAAATGGCCAATGTCTTATTTCGATGACATTTTTTTGAGGGGATTGGCCGTAAACAATGCAATGGGAATGATGAATCACGTGTTGGTAATTGTTATATTAATGAGTAAATCCGTTGGGATTTGCGATCGGTGATGGACGTTTTGATATGATTTGAAAGCGCACTTGGCCCCGAAAGGTAACGGTCTCTTTCGGAAAGTGTAGTTAATCGCGATAATAACAGTGAATTCGCGTTTCGCTATAATGTAACGGATATGACAAACTGTCAGCCGTTTATAAGGAAGTATATACGAAAATAGAAATCATCGCGATACCGGATCCCGTTAATAAGAACGGAAAGCCATCTCCTCTACGTTCGAGTGCAGTGAAAGAGAAACGTCATATGGATAGACGTCGTGACATTATACGCACGAATACGTAGACGTGTAAATAAGAACGAAGAACAAAACACTAACACAGAGAGCCGCGCGGCGCACACACTATCTATTTCATGGAGTTTCGTTGGAGACAGAGACTAAGGAGATAAATACAGAGAACGTGAAATCCCGTCGGAACCCGTTACGTTACGTCACGTAGTAGGTACAAAAACAGATAGGCAAAAAGAGAAAAGAATCAGTCACAGAGATCGTAATATCTATGCACGGGCAGGAGTAAGTGAATCGAGCGTACCTTGGTATAGTGATGCACTTGGTGTTACAACTTTGCGTGGTAATGGCTTTTTCGAGTTCCTCGAGGCCAGTCGACTTCTTTAACTTTTTCACCAGACTTTTCACTGCTTTTTCACTCCATTTATCTTCCCCCTCGGATTTTTTCCAACCCAGCAATCGTTTAACGATAGGCGGGTTAAAGCTGGACAGCATCGAAGTCATGATTTGCGTTACGAGACTTACGCGCGACCCGCATCGGGCTGTTTCAACGTGCCACCACACTAACAAATTTCCACTCGCGATTTCGGTGTAGTGGCCCGACAAGGGTCACCGTACGGTTTACCTTTACCGTCAACTGCTCGATTTCAGACAACGCGAATCTCTCATACGGGCGGCGAAAACTTTGCCACAGCCGCCATATTGTTCGTTAAGCGTACTCGGCGATACTCGGGAACACTCGGCCGTTTCCGAGCCGATCATAGAATACGTAATAAATAGAAAGCGAAACTATTTTTCGTTTTCCAAATTTCTTGTAAGTTTTATGAGTTTTTCTTTGTTTAATAATTGCGCTCGTCCATCTGATATTCAATGATTTTGGACGGACGTCTGTTTTTAACATTATGTGACCGTTTAATGTTACAAAAATAATTGCAACGAAATATTTTTCTGAACAAATTCGAGAGCTGCACATTTGCGAATCGTAAATACTTGTGAAACAGGCTCCATTTAATTAATGAATTATAGCGATTGGTTGATACTAAACGTCTAACCTGACAAAGTTGCAGGTCAAAATCGAAATGGCCAATCACGGGTATTTTTCGTGAATTTTCTTCATTTCTCGTGCTATTTTAACGTAAATACATTTTCTTGAGCATGTTTTTGGAACCTGAACTGTTGTTAATAATAAGAAGTTATTTAAAAATTTAGCGGGCCCTTAAGAAAGAATCATTAAGTCTTGTTATTTTAGAGAAAAAATAATTCATAATACTTAGTGACAAGGTGTATATTTGTATATAAATACAATGGATCTTGAAGGTAAATCTTATTATACTTCTTCCAAGCTACTTAATAAAAATTACAAGTACTGTACGCCAAGAATATATACATATATATACTTAAATACATTTGCATGTGTGCGTGTGTGTTATTCAATTGTTGACATTCCTTTTTGTATTTGTAGAATACATTTAAAAAACATTGTGAGAATATTAGATCGTTGTAATGTAATATTATTTTGTTTTTAGAAGAAAGAAGCGAATCGGAAGAAGAGCATGAGAAGTCTAGAAGTCGTTCGATAGATTCTCATAGATCCAGTAGAAGTAGATCTAAGTCAAACTCTACCAGTCGTTCACCCAGGTAAAAAATCATGTTTATCTAAACACGTAGATAATACAGCTCCTACTACAATATAATTTCTAACATCTTTCGTTTCAGATCCAATCAATCTTCGCCTGTACAACCACGATCACCAGCTTCCGTTCATTCCAATGCTAACTCTAGAAAATCATACTCTAGATCGCCTTCGCGATCACCATCTCGAAATCGATCTGCATCACCCGCTTCCGTTAAAAATCAGAGATCGTCTAGATCCAGTTCAAAATCTGGGGGCAGGAGAAGCACTTCGAAATCGCCATCCAAATCGCCATCCAAATCGCCATCCAAGTCGCCTTCCAAGTCTCCTTCACCCGAACAAGATGGAAAAATTGTACAAAGTGAATCGCAATCACCGCGTTCAGTACGTTCAGCGAAATCACGATCGAGATCAAGGAGTTCGTCGGCCGCGGAGTCTAGGAAAAGTTCTAATCCACCATCACGGCAGAATTCACGATCCAGATCCAGATCGACTTCCGCTAAACGGAGTAACCCACCGTCTAGATCTCCTTCGCCTTCTGTTCGTTCAAAATCACGCTCCCGATCACATTCTCGGTCCCCTTTTGGTTCACCAAAAGCGGCTGCCAGATCTCGTTCTCAATCAGGCTCGCGAGAATCTTCTCCAGCTCGATCTCGTTCCCATTCAGAAAGTCCTCATCGGAAATCCCACAGTAGGTCTCGATCTCCTTCCGTCGACAAAAAGGGTTCGCGTTCTCCGTCGCGGTCTCCATCACCATCTCCATCTCGCGTCAAAACGTCCCGATCCCGTTCACGATCGAAATCTCCTTCGGTAGATAATTTAAGGAAGGATGCACCCGATTCTCCAAAAAGTTCCCACTCGAAATCACCTGCGACTTACGAAGATGGAAAACATAAATCAAGATCGCGGTCTAGATCTGGCTCAGCATCAAGAAAAACTCCACCTACAGCCTCTCGAGCAGGAACTTTGTCTAGATCACCATCCGCGGAGCCTAAGGTACCGTCGCGATCAAAGTCGAGGACACCGTCGGGTTCAAGACAAGGATCTAGATCACGGTCCAGGTCGGGTTCAAGAAAGTCGATTTCAAGATCAAAATCAAGATCAAAATCAAGATCGGTCTCGGGATCACGGAAAGGATCACAGTCCCCTGGTTCAAGGAAAAGTTCTCGTTCTCGATCGAGGTCCAGCTCGAAGTCATCAAAGTCAAGATCTAGATCTCGTTCTAGCTCGAAAGCTTCGCGTTCCAGATCGCGTTCGGGATCGCGATCAAAGTCAAGATCAAGATCCAAATCAAGATCTCGTTCGAAATCGAAATCGAAGTCCCGTTCAAGATCTCGATCAGGTTCACGGTCAAAGTCAAGATCCCGTTCAAAATCGCGATCGCGTTCGAAATCCCGTTCGCGTTCGCGATCGCGATCGGGATCGGCAGCTGGGTCTAGGCACTCTTCCCGATCGAGGTCGAGGTCACGTTCGATATCGAAATCTAGAAGATCAAGAAGTCGCAGTGAGGATTCTGAAGGTGCTGTTAAAAAGAGGAACAGAGTTCTCTCAGATTCCGAAGAGGAGGATGACGGAGTTAAGGCAATAAAAAAATCGAAGCATGGTTTGTCTGATTCTGAAAACGAAGGCAACGATGAAGCAGCAGAGAAAAAGAAGGGTGAAGATGAACAGGAAGAGGAAGAACAAGAAGCAGGGAATAAAGAAATCGAAGATACTGTAAACATTGAACAGCAGGAAAATGAAGATTCCGATGATGGTGTAATCGCAGATGGAGGAATGTAAGTTACTGAAGTTTTATCAAAAAATACAGAATATTTAAAAGATTACGCAAAGTTAAATTATGGTAGCGCTAATCCATATTTATCTTTAATGTACGCTTATCAGGAGTAGCAGATATCTGTAAGTAATAGTTCTTTAGGGGAAAATGAACGTCATAACGACAGACTGTCAATCGAAACGAGCAATCTTCGTGTTGCATAAAATTTATGCCAACGAACGGTGACAAAATATGTTTATTTTCTAGGGACGATGCTTTGTCGGATTTCGATCGTATGTTGGCCCGTAAAAAAGAAGAACAATCACGAAGACGAAAAAGAAAAGATATTGATATAATTAATGATAACGATGATATTATAGCACAGCTTTTATCCGATATGAGAACTGCATCGGAAGAAGACAGAAAATTAAATCAACAAAATAAACCTGCCACTAACAAAATAGCTATGTTGCCGAAAGTCCTGTCACAGCTAAAAAAGCATGACCTACAATTGGCGTTTTTAGAACATAATGTATTAACAGTTTTAACTGATTGGTTAGCCCCGATGCCTGATCGATCTTTACCTTCTTTAAAAATTCGTGATAGTCTTTTGAAGCTTTTGTGGGAAGTAAGTTTCTGAATATAAAATTTTCATTTAGTAATCATAAAACAATATTGCATATGTGTATACTGTGTGCATTGATATTTCAGTTTCCAAGAATAGATCAGTCTTCCTTGAAACAGTCAGGCATTGGCAAAGCTGTTATGTATCTTTATAAACATCCGAAAGAAACTAAAGAAAACAAAGAACGCGCTGGTAAATTAATTAATGAATGGGCTCGCCCTATATTTAATCTGTCGGCCGACTTCAAAGCTTTATCGAAAGAGGAGAGAATGCAAAGGGATTTAGAACAAACACCTCAAAAAAGAAGGAAAACTGAAGATGGAGGATCTTCTCAGAAGTCGCAAGATATAAATAAAGCTCTAAAAGGAGATGCCAAGTATGAATTGGATAGACTTTTATACCAGTAAATCATGGGACATTATTAAAATGTTAATGAATTTTATCGTATTAGACCTTTAAGACCTGGAGATCCTGGATGGGTTGGAAGAGCCAGAGTTCCTAGACCTTCAAATAAAGATTACGTTGTAAGACCGGACTGGAAGTCTGATGTTGATATTAGCAGGGTAAGTATATTTGTTTATCAGTTACATAGGTATAATGTAACTCACAACAATTACTGTAATAATTTAACAGAGCTCCAAGAAACAAATGAATAGATTTGAAAGGCATATGAAAAACTACATAGATAATAAAAGGATGAAAGGACCGAGAAGGGCTGTGGATATATCTATTGAAGGACGCAAAATGTCCTTGTAATAGCAACACATTTCGATCTATACATGACGAATATTATATATAATTTACAAGAACTGTACGAGCGTATATAAAAGCCTGCATTATCTCAACATTAAGTTACGACACTCTATAGAATTGTAACTACAATTATGCTCAATAAAAGTTGGACAACAATTGTAAACGGTATTTCTTAAATTTACGTTTGTATCCTAAATTTAGGTAGTAAATAAATAGAACAAGATAAATTACTGACAACATTTGTTGCTTGATAACATTCTGTTTTCTCGTTGCATCATTTATATAATAAAACATACATGTAAGATATTTAAACTTCTAGTATGTTCAAAAATTAAATGGTTGCATTTCCGTCTAGCACGAACTTGAGCGACCTCTTTTTCCGGTTTATCGTGATATAGTAAGCACGACACAATGAAAGCTAAGGGTGAAGTAAGTAAATATTATAAATATTACTGGAAAAATTATAAAGAAATCTTGTTAAGGAGATTTTTTATGTCGTCATACCCTCGCATATCATAAAAACTTACTTAGAATAATTGAAATAAAAGGATACTGTGCGTTAACATGAACATAACCTATAACAGCATAATCACCGACACATGTTCAGATTGTATTCAAAAGCTTCAAAGTTTATTATACTTTATTAAATTTGTATTTGGAACAAAATAGATATCGTCGTAGATGACTGTTTTATTCTACTTAGATGAACAATATACTTTATCGCAATGAAGGATATTAACAATTTTTCAGATGTCAAAGTTAATTATTTGTATACACACGTGACTACTTTGATTAATAACTATTTTCTTTTTACAGTTGAAGGAGTTCGAAGTGATCGGTCGCAAATTGCCGACTGAAAAAGAGAAAACCACACCTTTGTATAAAATGAGAATATTTGCTCCTGATGCTATTGTTGCGAAGTCTAGATTTTGGTATTTCCTTCGTCAACTCAAAAAGTTCAAGAAGTCTACTGGAGAAATTGTGTCTCTTAAAAAGGTAAAAAATAAATGAAATACTATAAGCTAAATTGTTTGAAGAATAATAACATTATAATAAACTTTAATTTGGTAATGATTAGATTTCAGAGAAGACGCCTATGAAAATCAAGAATTTTGGAATCTGGTTAAGATATGACTCAAGATCTGGAACTCACAATATGTACAGAGAATATAGAGATCTTTCTGTCAGTGGTGCTGTAACACAATGTTACAGAGATATGGGAGCACGTCATCGAGCTCGTGCACATTCAATCCAAATCATTAAAGTAGAAGTGGTAAAAGCTGCCAACTGCAGGAGACCACAAGTTAAACAATTTCATGATTCTAAAATCAGGTTTCCACTACCAAAACGTATTCACCACAGGAATCGTATGCCACTCTTCAGTGTTAGAAAACCACGTACCTATTTCCTATAAATATTTTCATCTGAATGTTTTACACATTAACAATAAATATATATTGTTCTAAGGGAAATAAATGGACGTTTGATCTAATGTGATACCTCCACCACTTTATTACTTATCCTACAATACCTGATATTTTTCTTTTTAAATATTTCCCATGACTGAAATTTGCGTATTTATGTTAGAAATCTGTGATACGGAATTTTGAGATAGGAATGTAGTACCTGTGAAAGTACCGTTAACGCGATTATAAATATCTACGTATATTGTCACAATTCGTGAAACCTGACGGTGTGCAGTTGTAACTACTTAACTTGAAATTTTTTTTATAAATATTTTACAAATTATTAATTTTTTATATATTAGAAAATATTAAAGTAAATTCCACATATTACTTTCGTTGAAACATCGTAATAAATAAAACGTGACGAATGCCTCTACGTAGTTATGATCATATACGTAATAGGTTACACAGTTGACTCATCTTTAGAAAAACAAATATCTAACATTTAATCAGTGCATCTATCATGTAATTCATAATAATACTGCCAAACTTAAAGAGCATTTTGTTTTAGATGTGTGAAAGGAGAAAAAATATTTTTAGGCATAAGAATATCAATTTTTAACCGATCATCGATTGTTGATTTACGTTTCGTATTGTGACTTGTCACAAACAAAAATGGGTCAATTTCATGACAGTACAATGGGTGAACGTATAGAATTCGATGAAGAAAGTGACAATGGATTAGTCCTTGCCGACAAGTATCTTCCTGGAGAATTACTATCATATATTTTCCTTTATGTTGATTATAAATCTCTGTTAAATTGTCAATTAGTTTGTAAACGTTGGCAAATTTTAATTCAAAGTTACGTTTGGCGCAAAAGGGCTGCATTTTCAGTTGGCCGATCAGTTTTATTTACTAAAAATGTACCTTGGCACGTATATTATTTAATATGTAAAAAGAAACCTTTTGAAAGGAATTTGATAAAAAATAATTCTGGAGAACATGGAATAAAAAAGCATTGGAAGATTTTAGAGGAAGGTGGTGATCGATGGACAGTGGAAAATCCTCCACTGGGTGTTCCACTCTTACCAAGCAATGAACCTGTATTTGAAGGAAAGAAATTTTGTTTTGCTACTTCCTATAGAAAATGTATGAAAGCACAAACGATTGATCTGGAAGAAGAAGGTTTCACACCATATGTTTTGGATGAATTACAACCCCCGATAGTGGTACTGTACAATTGGAATTATTAAAATCTATATAATAGTGTTTACATATAAAAATTCATTGAATAGTTTGATATCTCTTTTAATAGGTAAGCGAATGGTATAGTTGTAGATGGGATTGTCCAGCTTTATATGAATGTGGAGCCACATTACTGACTCGGAATTATGAACCCTTAGATTCTTTTCGATTTACTGATACAATTGAAGGAGAAAAACAAAATCAGTGGCATCATGTATGTGTATAAATAATAATATACAATAATGTGAACATATATGTATGGATTTTCTATTGATCATGTAATTTTATTACAAAAATGTTATGGTATAAAATTCATTGAGTCCTCTTTTAAATAGGTAACACATGAATTCACAAACTATGGAACTGGGCTTAGGATAATTTGCTTTTATCATGAAGGTGTAGATCGATCATTTTGGGCAGGACACTATGGAAGTAAAATGGCTGGTGCTAGTATACAAGTGAAAATTCCTGTTGTACTATGTTCTGATGATAAAGAAAGTAATATATCATAGTACATGTATTCAGAAATTAAATCAAAATTTTATCAAAAAGTTTATTAAAAATATGAATTATGCTGCATTCATACAGTAAAAAAATATTTCTAGGTATTAACAAAGTTATAAGTGAACAGTTATTTAATTCTATATTTGTTTTTGATTTTTAATGTTTAAATATTGTTCATTGTCCTAAATAGTATGTTTCACCAGAATTTGAATATATGATTATTACATTTTCAAAAATACTCAAATTATGTCTTATCTTACATCATTAAAATCAAAGAGAGCTTTTAGATGTTGTATTCTGGTGGTACATTGCACATTAAAAATATAACAAGATGTAAATTATAAGCATGAGTAAGATATTATACTGTAAGTAAAAATGCCATTTTATATAAACTTGTATATGAGAAATATAAATAATTTACTAACATAATATTTAAAAAGGAAGTTATATGCTATGAATGTATGTTTCCAAAGAAAGATTTTTTAAAGTATGTAAATTATATATGTATGATAAATAAAATCAATGATTTTATGTGCAATATAAACAGATTTAATGTAATGTGTGCAATGAATGCAATTTGAATGCTATTTCAATTAAATTTTGTGGTGCTGAATCTTGGTAACATACATATAACTCCTTTGTATGAGGAGTTGTATAGAGACGTCCAACAACCCAATAAGAAACGTTATCCCATTCAAATAGCACGCCGTGTTCTTTAACAGCAATTAAGCTCTTATTAATTACGGTTTTATCCATATCTGAATTTAACATTTTTTTAAATCTTACTGTATTATGCAAAAGTCTATGTATGATATGAACACATTTATTAAAATTAACTATAATCGTATGATCCTTTTCTGGACTTTCTAATGGTTTTGATGATAAAAGAATACCTTCAGTCATATCTAAATGTACATAGTGGTACAAATAATTTTTTTCGCCTGTGGTCAATATTTTCGGTGTTAAGTATTCAGCTTGGTTTAACAGATTTTCTCGTATATTCGATATATCCATACTTAACATTCGACAGTCATTCTGTAATAATATATTTTGTAAAAAATATTTTATTCGTGAAATAAATGCTGTATGGAATAAATTATTATTTACCTTATATATGTCAATGTCAGAGTCGCTGTCATCAGAATATTTTGACCCACTTGAAATTTTTTCTCTCGTTGCTCGCCTTCCTAATATAGGAACGGCTTCGTCACTTATTTCACTAATTCCACCTGTCCCTTGACTTAATGAATCCTCTGATGTATGTAAAGAATACACTGTAAAGAGTTTGAATGTATTATTATTTACAGTAAGTCATGATGATTATTAACATTTCTATTTACCAGATCCTAAAACCATTGGACTCTCTTCTGTACAACGTTTCTTTAAAATAGACGGTATTTCTTGAGCTTTTTTACCAGAAGTTAAAGCAAGGGGTGATTTTGTGGGTGAACTTTGCACATCAGTTGATTTTATAAGACCTAAAAAGTTTTCTGTGATACTAGATGATGGTTTTGCAGATGCATGATCCTCATTAGGTATTACTTCTGGTCTTGTGTTAGATGCAATCCATTTGGCTGCTAATGTTGTCACTCCTATTTTTTGTATATGTTTTAGAGTTTCTTGAGCTTCTTCCACATAGAATACATCTGGCCCATTCGATTCATTGCATCTGCATTCATAAAAACATTAGTAATTTAGTAAGAATAAATTGTCGAGTAATGCTAAATTATAACGTCATTACTTTGCAGTACATCCGCCAGACTCTAAAAGAACTGCTAATAAGTCATGTCCATATCCAACAACAAGTAAAAACCATTTTCCATTAGGAACTAATGGTTGAATGTTTTTACTGTTATCTAAATTTCCACGATTACACGATGAAGGATAAACTTTTTTCCAAATAACAAGATTATTTACAGGTTCACTTGTTACCAAATTTAAAAGGCAATTATGTCGAAGGTAAGCGTCAACTTCGATCAAATCGCTATGCGTTAAATGAGAACCAAGAAGATAATGTTTATGATAGATGCAGCTACCTAAAATTGTGTATAGCCGTTGGCAGTCCATGGGATCTTCATTCTAAAAACATAAAATTTATGTTATTTGTTTTCTTTTCTTACTTTGTAGTGTATACCTACCCAATCCCTATAATCCATAGCTTCCATTTCACTTAAAGCAGCATCAATTTGAATTTGTGCATCTCTTGATAATTCAATAAAATTTGCAACTGAAAAAGTGCTTCTAAGTTTGTAATTTTCCATACTTTCAATATCATTATGAATTTTCATAGAACAATCAGGTAATCCTATGTTATTTGCATAATTTTTTAGATCTAGTAATTGTTCAAAGAGTAAAATAAAAAAATGATCTAAAGAAAAATGATTTTCAAGAGGTGTAAAACAGTTTGCTAACGACTGGTATACAAATTCCAGTGTTCTGACTATATCAAGTGTTAAGCTGACAGCTTCTTCAAGACTGCAACTAAGAATATTAGAAGTTAAATAAAAAAAATATATTTGTTTTATAGTTCATTATTATCTAATGAGTGATAAATAATGCCTGGTTACCATTTTTTTGGTAATGCTATTAAGAGTAGTTCTTCATTTCGGGGCACATATACAATATGAACTTCTTCATTTGCTACCTGTATAGTGGTACTATAACAGTTGTATTATAAAAGGCGATTTTGTTGTTATGGAAAATGATGTCAACTACTGGTATAATTAATAAATAATACCTAGTAGGTTGTAATCCTGTTATTCCTGGTAATAAATGATTAAGAGTTATAAAAGCTCCTCTTGCTGTGCACAAAATAGATTGAGCATTTTTATTTTCTGATCGGGGAAATGTATAAAGCACGCCTTGCAATTCTGATCCCATTTCAGAAATTTCTGTTGTATGTAGGTATAGAACACCAAGTGGATAGTTTAATATTGATTCCATTAGGTCTTTACTTTCTTCTTTGTTCATTAGTTTTTGTACCAATACAGATTGCTAATGATGAAATATAATAAACAATTTTCATTTGTCAAAATTATCAACTATGTGTATATTAGATAATATTGTAATTACCTTAGGACTGTTTAATCCAGGCAATTTTTCTGTCACATCGATACCTGCAACTCTTTGTAGCTCCAATGTTATCTAAATAAAAATTAAAGTTAATTACAATATACACTTTTTTTATCTTTCAATGTTGTCATCTTTAGTCTTACATTTGTTGCAACAGTTACTTCCGATAATATGTGATCTAAATTTTGATATGTAACATTGGTTGAATTTATACTTCTCAGCCAGTCACCAATTTTAATATTCTTATTTTTCATTGCTTCTCCATCTGGGATAAATCCAGCCACCATAACCCGTGTTTTATCAGAGAATACACCTGGTGTAATTCCAAAATATGCCTCGCATAATGTTGCTCGTCTTCCTAACTTATGCCTTCTATCTGGATCAACCCATAATGTAACTTCCCGAATTTCACCAGCCTAAAACATTTATATGCTTTCATATTAAATACATATTGTTTCTAAGAGTACTTTCACAACGATAAAAGCATATTTACTTGAAAATCCCTGAATGTTACTTCCTTAGTTGTACTTCCTTCTTTTCCAGAATTCATTAGATTATTAGATGTAGCATTGGAATAATTTTTCTTGTTTCTCATGCTCCATCTTTTGCTTTCTTTTCGTCTTATGAGCCTCATAAGCTTCCCAGCTCTGGTACTACGACGTCTTGTTAATTCTGGTTGACAATCATGTTCTGTTTCATTATACAATGATTGACCATCAGCTATACTTTCTGCTGCAGATTCTATGTAAAATAATTCTCCAGTATGACTAATTTCAGATTCCCATTCTGCTGCAGAACTGTGATAAATGTAAAATACATTAGATCTTTTTACAAACATATATTTCATTGAAAACTTACGCAATATTAAAAAAATTTGATGTACCTATCCGTATCTGAATAATATGATCCAGTGCATGATCCACTATCACTTGCCCACCAGTCATGTTCATTATCATTTGCTGTATCCTCTGCAGTACAAATTTGATCATTATATTTACATTGTGACTTTATTGACATGTTTTTGCAACTTGTATTATCCATACTGTATATTATAAAACTTTTTTTGCTCTACAATTTTATAATGCAATGGACTTATTAAGGTACTTTTAACCTTTCCTTAAATTGTTGTTATATTTGTTATGTTCTAAACACTTATTTCGTTTTGCCCTTCTAAGGACAGGTTGGGTCAAGAAATTATTACCTGCAGCCTTGAATACCTGGTAGGAAGGGTGGGGACTACAAAGTACCTTTCACTTTGATATGTAAGATTAAATTATGAAACAAGAAACAATAGATTTAAAATCTGGGCAGCTGATTAAGTAATAAGTATCACTTTATTTTAATTAAAATATATAGTCTTATAATATACTTTATGCAAATATAATAAAAATATAATTTCTACTTAAGAATTTTATGGATAATTTTATTTGTAATTACAATTGATTTTGTCCAAATGGTATTGAATTTAATCACGCTTATAAAAATAACTCGATACTTCCAGGCACCAAGTGTCATAAATTTACTTAAAATACATTGACAAATGATAAATGAAAGGGAATTCCATTATAAATCCTCATTGTTGAAATGTCGATTAGCAATTATGTTTCAATACGTATAAAAAATAAATATAAAAGTTTATTTCTCCTATTAGCATAACATTATCGAATAGATTGTTTAAGTTTAGAAGGTACTGATTTAATTTCGTTAGTTTCTTTCTTCTTGTGTGGATCCGGTTGGAAACATTTCCACAAACGTAAAGTTTCATCAGCTCCGGCGCTAAGAACTGTAGTGCCATCAGGAGACATTGCTAAATGTAAAACGCGACTAGAATGTCCTGTAAGTTCTGCAACCTTTGTCATTCCTGGGTACTTCCAAATTGTCAATTGATTCTGTGCATATCCATGACCAGATACAATTTCCTTATATGTTGTGGACCAGAGAAGAGAACAAACTTGTGATTTGGTATCTACTGTATTTAAACATGCACCTGTTGTTTCAAGGAAGATTTTCAAATTAAGTCACTGTTTTCTTGTGTAAATGTTATTTTGTTGCAATTTACCTGTATTACAATTCCAAAATCGAATTGTTCTATCAGCTGTACCACCTCCACTTGCAAGAATATTATTTTGCCATGGACACCATGCCAAGGCTTTCACAGCAGCTTGATGTTGATTTAACGAATAAATTGGTTGACTATGTGTATGATGTTGTCCAGAAACTGATGACCATATTTGAAGCATATTATCATTACCGCCACTCGCTAAATATTTTCCATCTGGTGACCACTTCAAACCACATATTTCTTGAGCATGTGCATTTATGGTTGATATTAAATGGTCTCTTTGTCTAACATCGTGGTGCACTATTTGTCCTGCTCTAAAAATAAAATGAAATGTGACTAGAATCAGTACGAAAACGATTTTGTTAGTATATAAAAATATATTATTCAATTCCAATAAAATGTTTTATACCTGCATCCACTCGTCAAAATATGTGAATTCCAAGAAAGAGAACCTACTCTAGCTGCATGGCCATTCATTACACGTACTCTTTTTGTTTGACTGCAATCCCATAGTTCTGTATTTCCAACTGTAGTACCCACAGCTAAATATGGACCTTCTTGAATCCATGCAACGGAACAAATATAATCATTTCCCTCTAATTCAAATAACTGTTCTATAGTTCCAGTTGCAGCATTCCATAAATATACATTAGAGCCTAATGCTACAGCTAAGATATTATTTTCTGACCAATCAATCAGGTTCAGATCTAAAACACACGTAGAGCACTTATTAAAATTTTCATAATTAAATTTTTTAAAAATAATACAAATTTTTTTGTGCAAGTTATGATGCTAGTTTGAAGAATTTGAACTGAGAAATATCAACTTTAAATAAATTAAAAACTTCTTACAATAGTCATCAACAATTTCCGGTGCATCTAATATTCTATCAGGAGTTTGTGGAATGTATCTTGTAGATGCTTTCACACTTGCTGGTGTTTTACTTTGACTATACACAACTCGTAATGGATTCTGATATCCTTCTGGAGGAGCAGGTGCTTTGTTTTGATAAGACAAAACTCTCATATTATTAATATCACCACCATGTAAATTTTCACCAATAAGACGTTGCATTTCTCTCTTAGAAGGACTTGAATTGTCTAGCTTTTCATCATCCTTCTCTGCATTTGCTTGCTGAAGCTATAGTTTGCAAAGTTTGACATTTAGTACTTAAATAAGAATGTGCAAAATTATTGAAATATATTAAAAGTTGAAAACCTTATAATGTCCAAGATCGAAATTGGTAGTTGATCTTGAAGGAATAAATCTGTCACCACCATTGGGAGTTTTAGCAGGGGTAGATGAGGTCCGACCTAATTCAATTTTATTTATGTAATATTTCCATCTATAAATGATTTATTCTAACTAAATAATATCATAAATAATAAAATATATAGCCATACTTGGCGATTTCTTGGAACCTTTAGAAGGAGTCTTTTTAGTTCTGTTATCACTTTTTTTTGTTGGAGTCTTTCCGGTAGTAGTACTTGCAAATGATCCACTTGTAACTTTTCGAGAGGAATTAACACTAAGATTAACACTGCATAGCAAAAAAATAAAATTATTTGAACACTTTGTAACGATTCTAATCTTATACAAAATGAAAGTAGTCTAATATTAAATTAATACCTTGAATTTGATGTTTCCAAACATTTCTTTTGCCATCGGGGAAGTGGTCCTTTAATATTTTCATCCATTCGAGTTAAATTGTTTATTTCTTTCATATATTTTAAATGTGACATTATCAAAATATATGATATTCAGATGCTAATACTAGTGTACTGTATTGAAAATAAAATAACAGTTTATACTAGACAGTGAACACAAACAGGATGAAAATTTTCAATTCAAATAATTCTTGTAGTAATATTCTAGCTTATTTAAAAGATACATTAACTTTTTAAAAAATAAATCTGGTCATTAATGTATAATATACTGCAAAACTAATGCAGTTTGTCATTCAAAATAATGAAATTCTTTCGTGAAAACTTAACTGTTCCAATGAACTCAACACACGACATTTAAAAATTTCCGTTAAAATTTAAAGGCTTTCGTAAACTAGCTTGCTACCAGAGGTCGTCACAAACGTAAAGGCTTATTTCCAATCGCGCGGTTAAAGGAATTATTACGGGTGAATTTTTAATGAATTTTTAATTAAAGGAAAACTTCTTAATGTTTTTTTCAATCACATTAAAATTTATAACGCAAGTATTTCTTATGATTAAATGAAATGTAATGTGGGAAATGAATTAAATAAAATAATACAGAAGTTTATTTCATGTCTCAGCATATTCCAACAATAACATTTACAATGAAAATTTTATGTACAAAATGTCGTATCATTCATATACTTTAAACAACTCATACATACGTCCATGATATTATAATAAATATTCTATTCTGTACATCTTAAACAGAGAAGTCTTATAACTCACACTCTTTATATTACAATGTTCATCAATCTAATACTTAAATTGTATACCTTACTTTGTACCAAATACTGTAAAATACAGTAGTCCTTATAGCAATGAAATTATTTCAAAAACCGAAAATAAAATGGTATTTACATGTTAAGTAAATTCAATTTCACTAAATAAAGCATTTTTTAGTTTTTCTTCAAATAGAAGACTTTCCTCTTGATGAATCCTTAAAGAATCTTCTACTTTCTTCGAAATGCAATGTATCTCCATTACTTGGTTCTGACTATTTTTGCAAAATTCTGTTAATGGATCAAGTTCGGAATCATTTTTTTTATCTTTATATAATTTTTGTTTTTTTGTCATTGGTTCACTTGTATCATTCATTTCCTCATTCTCCTTATCATTTTCTTGTATGGTAAATTTTTTTGATACAATCTTATATTCGTTTAATATATTAGATTTGAACCACCATGGTAAAGTTCGAAAGTGTTTTATATGATTCTTGTTGTAAACCACTTTCAAATCTTTATCAATAAAATTTATCTTTCTTTTAATAATATATAATAAAACATCAATAAAGTTTGACATGGTCAAAATGTCAGATGTAAAAAATAAGTTGCTTAATAAACCGCTGGATACTTCGTTGTTATCGGCATTGAATAATGCTTCTTTACAATAATTTGTTATACTTTGATGAAACATGATGTAATCATCCAATGGCCAACTGTACCTAAAATAATATTTATATACGAAGAAATTTAATTATATTCGTTTATACTTAACCGAGAATGGAAAATTTATAGTAGTACTCACTTCCATTGAGGTAATTTAAAATTAAGCACCGTATTTTCTATTCTTGCTTTATAATCATCTTTTTTCCAGGTGTCGTCAAAGTGTTCATAGCTGCATGGCATCATGTACTCGTTTTTAACGAATTTTTTAAACTCTGGAGCAAACTTTGTATACATATAAGATTCTGGATCCAATATTATATCCGTTAGATGAGTAACAGCTTCATTATATAAATCAATTATGAATTTAGGCTCCTTCAGTGCACATGATAGTTTTTCATTATAGGATGAGCCATCCATTATTCTGTAAAGATAACAAGATATTACAAATGATAAATGAGATAGTAAGAAATATAAAAAATCTAAGCAAATAAAAAAATATGTTGGTAATTACCTCAACCATAATTCTTCTGTTAAACAAATGTCAATAATATTTTCCAAGTAATCCATTTCCAATGGGTTTTGATGTGGCTTATTTATGGTCAGCCATAGTAATGCACTTTGTGTTAGATTTAAAACTGTTTCTTCATTTAAATCCTTTTCACGCATAATAGTATATATTGATAAATATCTAGCATCTAATAGTTTTTCTAAGGTAGAAACAACTTCTGCATCTTGTACATGGTGTGAATTTTCATCACCCAAAACAATAAATACCAGAGGTATGGGCATAAGCCTATCTCTTGATAATATAGTTTTTGTTAAACGTTTTATAACAAAATTTGTGTCTTCAGAGGTACCTGTTATGAAAAGGAGACCATCTGAACCCACTAAATGGTAGTCACTAATCAGGCCTTCAAAATGTCGAATGCAAGTATATAAAGTTTCAAGTGGATTTGACTGATATGTCTTCATAATTGGATTTCTAGTATAATCTTCAGGACAAAGATATTGATTCATTATTTTTTTATGATGCCATAAAATTGGTTTATCGTGCAAGTCTGGCCAAGAAATAATTAATTTCCAATAATAATTGGAAAGCATATTTATTTCCAAAGATTTCAAATTTTCTTTAATACCCATAAAGATTATAACTTCAACTGGAGCTAAAGAATCAATGTAAGATTTGGTAATTTTTGGTTCATGTTCATGCCTTTTACACATATTTTCAATAACTAGATTCTGGTTCTCAGAATATAATAACTTTGCACATTGATCACTAGAATACTTCTGCAACCATACTGGTGTACTGTCCAGTGATTCTCGTTGTCTTTTTTTCAAGGCATTCAACTTCCATACATTGAAGTATTTTTTAACTATTCTATTTTTCATTTTTATTAACAATGCATGTAATTTTTGTGTATCATTAATTTCTTCTTGTAGAATACTATTACATATTTCATGAGTAACTTCAGTTAACATTTCATTTTTGATATCTTCACTCAATGTATTATAAATATTCATTCTATTAATTTCCTCTTTTATAAGATCAGAGCAATGAGTTTCTACAACTTCGCCCTCGATATCGTTTAAAATTTGTGTTGCTGTTTTTTCAATTTGTTCAATCTTGTTTACAGAAATTTCTTCTTTCATCTTTATATCTTTAGCTTTCGTTTTTTCATTTACTTGATTTGGATGAGTAAGAAAACTCTGTACATCTTTCAATTTAGTGTCACTTGAAGTTACTGCAGAGTCATTTGATAGTTTTGAAGCAATTTGCATACTTGGATATGTATTTGGGAACATTGTAGAAGAAGCAACATTTCTCATGAATACATTTCCTTGTGTAACTCCTGAAAATATACTTTTATTTGTAGCTGCTGTAAATGGTACAGCTGCACTGTTATACGGTGGTGGATCCAATGTTTTTGAAAATACATTAGAAGATTTTGAAGTTGTTGATGTAGACAATGTGCTACTAAAAGTAGAAGCTTCGCTGTTTTTACTTGCTTCTGGCACAGTACCTTCTTGTTTTGGTAAAAAGTTAAATATGTTAGCATTCTTCTGTTTCTCTGTTTTTAATGTTGATGCTAAGTTTACATTTTCTTGAGATTCAGTGATTTGAGTTTGAGGTTTAAAGACCGAAAATACATTTGTACTGGGCTTTTGAGGTGTGGTACTTATATTATAATGAAAGCTTGCAGTTGTAGTAAATAGATTTTTACATTCAGTAGTGTCGACAGTTTCATTTTTACTTTGATTTTGTTCAGAAATTGAATGAAAGTGACTGTATTCTATACCATCATCTGGATACTCATACAGGTCATTTGGATTACAAACATCATTTTTATGTTGATCTTCCGCATTAATAGAGTTCGGCATTAAATAACCTTTTGAATCAAAACTGTTGTGTGGTTTATGAAATTTATAATTTTTTTCTGGCATTTTTCCTCCTGCTATACATTCTCCAATAGATAATCGTTCCATAATTCTCTTAGATTCAATTACATTACAAGCTCTGTTTTGCTTCATATTTAATACAGGCATAGAGAAATTCTGTCGGTTTAATAGTACATGCAACTCATCCTTTGAAACATTTAATCCTACTTGTTCACAGAAGTAAATAGCTTCACACTCATTCTCAAAGCCTAAAATATCTATTAATTCATACAATGGGTAAGCTGTTGATGTAGTTCTGCAATAAGCTTTTACCATTACTGATAATGCTCTTAATCTTACTTGATTAAAGTACCTAAGTAAGATACAAGCATTTAAGTATGTAGTTTTATGAACAAGTTTAAAGAATTTATAATAATTATTTGATTCTAAAGCAGAATATACCTCCAGTGCAAATTGAACTTCTGCTGATCTTTGTACACTTTTTGGCAGTCTTTGTAAATCCCACATGAAATTGCTATTGTTCAAATTCAATAGGATAATATATGCACGAAATTCAGGTTCGTTTCTGCAATTTATTCCTTTAACCCTTAAATCGTGATACATATATTTCAATGTTTGTAAACATTTTGTTAAATTATCAGAGTTTATTTTCTTATCAAAAACAGACGGTTCTTCTGCACAAAGTCTTTCAGAACAAACAATATGAAATCTAGCACATTGTTCAACTAACTCAACACTATCTATGCAACATAATTCTTGCTGTGTTATATCTTTTCTAATTCCTCTCGTTCTATCCCATAAAAAATGATACCATTCTCCTAAATTTGTGCCTTGTTGGTCACAGAGACATGCTATTTCATGAAGTAAGTAACTCATAGTCATTTTTAAAGATTTCACGGGTCTTAGATCATGTGCCATTGGTTCTTCCTGATCAGCTGAAGATCTTGAATATTGTTTCACTGCTATCGCGTGATTTATTTTGTACTCATTGCTTTCAACTTGTTCATATAATGCTAGCTGTCGTTTGGATTCACGCATTAGACGTTCTTTTTCAGGACACATATCAGGACATACTCCAACCATTGCTTTAGCAGCTGCTAATGTGTGCGATTTAATTTGCTTCATTCTCATAAGTCTATCTCTTGCTTCTAACACTTTATACTTATCTTCTGAACTATATGCTGGTTGACGAACAATGTGTTGTAATTCTTCAATGCTAGCATTGGGTAACAGATCTGATATTTGACTATCAGTTTTATGTTTCTCAGATTTAGCAGATGTTTTTTCTACCTTTGTTGTTGACTTTGATGTACCTTTGGACTTTTGTATTTTCTTCTTCTTAAGTGAAGTTTCATCATAAGGATCATGCATATTATATTCCAGATTCATCATAGCATCTAATTCAGATTTAATATCATCATCAGATGATTTCAAAAAATTTGTAACAATATTCTTCTGCATATCTTTTCGTTTTGTTGGTGATTTTGGTAATACACACAATTTAGTCCATTCTACATTAAATTTTTTACCACAATATTCCCCACTTTCATTAAATGCAACTGTTGCTTCTTCCTTGGTAGCATACGTGACAATAATTATTTGCTTCTTAGGACGAATAGTTATCTTTATAAGGTTTCCAAACATCATAAAATACTCTTTCGCTGTTGTTTTTGTAAGTAAAGTGTGAGGTACATTGGTACATGTTATTGAATTTTCTGGATTACTTTTAACAGCTTGTGTTCTAGCATTCTTCCTTAACTGTTCGAACATTGCAGTATCCTTAAGAGCTTGAGCAAATACATTAACAGCTGGCTTAAAAGAGTGTCTAGATATTTTAGGTTTATACTGTTTTTCAAAAGTTCCTGTCTGATGAATGGATGCATCTTGAAAGTTCATCTGCGGCACCGACGTTGGTGTAGCGAAAGTAAAAACATTTTTCTTAATGATTGACGTATCTGTCGCTTCTGTATTCACTTCGGAATTAATAGTATTAGGCAGACTAAGTACATTAGGTGCAGAAAATACAAATGCTTTAGAAGTTATACTTTCCCCTGGAATTGTATTACCTTGAGTATTTTCTCTGTGTTCCATTTTTCGAGATGTTTCTCTGAAGTTTTATTTAACTATTAACTAAAACGTCATTTCTTCCAGTAACGCCTATTTTTACCTTTGCCTGATCTCAGTTGATTCAAGCACACGTAAGGTTAGGTTTGTATACCTCCTCTGAGTTGCCGATATTAACATAAATAGTCAAATCCGTTACCATTTTCACTTTGACGATTCAAGAGTTATTTGAAAAAGAGAGAAACACCATATAAATTCTTATGAAATATATATTTTACAGATATTATATCGTTCATAAAATTATATTCAACTCATATTATATATTAATAATTGTTCTTTGTGATATTTATAATGAGAAGTAAAAAATGTCCATTTTATAATACGCAATAACAAACTTGACCACGTGCGTTTGCGGCGCCACCTACCAGTGTGTATTTAAATATAAACAAAGTTAATATCCGTAATAGGTAGAACATTTATCGTATTTTACAATAATAAATTATCTTATAAACCTGAACGCTTTCGTTACCAGCCTCAATTTCGTACAAATCTAATTCGACAAAATTGAAATATTTTATCGACCAACTTCTATGACGGCTTGTTTCTAACTGAAACTAAAAAAATATTATTATAAGTATATATTATTATTATAAGTACATTAAAATGTACAGTTAAACGATTTCAAATAACAAACAGAAACTGACTTTATCTACAAGTAGAAACCGTCGTTACCGACACATTGGCATTTTTGACAGTGTCGATATTTCAGAACAGTAGACAGAAGAATACATTGTACGCACAGTCTGTACAAACCTTAAATTCGTGACACTCGTCTACCAGTTTGGAGGGTTTGCCACCGATGGCGCCACCAGCTTAAAAAGCAGATTCCACTAAGCGCATAATTTGTACCAATTTTACTCCATTATACCCAAAACGTCAAGAACCATTTGTGATTACACGAAACGGTTATATGCAAACATTACATCACTCAAATTTGAATTTGAAATTGCCTTCCCAAAGATAGAGTATCAACTCTCCTTTCGAAGAATTTCGAACATTGAAAAAATTTCAAAAGAATTATATTCATCGCCGAGAGACAAGGTATCTAAAAAGTTCAAAAGGAACATTAACAAGTCTGTTCATACCAGACTACGCCGAACAAGGGAATCAAAATCGAGAAAAGTATCAAACGCTCCTAACGAACGAAGGAAAATTAGAGTAGCGGTGTACATCGAGCGATCTTCGACACAGTTTAGGAGACCCGTTGTTTCGAGGAAGCGGTAGTCGAAATCCGTAACAGATGGTGACGAGGTAATGTCGAAAGAATAACACGGAAGCGAATCGTGGGTGGCCGAGGACATCGGCAAAGACGCGACAAGGGGATCAGATAAGAGAGGTCTATCCTCCTGACGTTTCCTTTGTTTGGGAATTAAGATAAGCCGGCGAGGAAGAGGTGCAAGGGCCGTGGAGAGCACGGTGTTTGAGGCCAAGCAGGAACAAACCAGGCGCGCCTCCTTTCCTTTCGTTCAAATCAAATATTATCGGATACGCGCGCGTATCTGTACGCTTTACCTTGGACACCTGCGTGGAACGGGCAAAGTGCCGTACCGCGCGGGCCGATCGTTAAAAGTGTAGCGTTCCATTGTTTGACATTCCGGGCGATTTCAATACGCGCGCCGCGCTGTCTGCCGGCCGTCTACGAACGTCTGATTCCGGCACGGTTACGGAACAACGGGGATATCAGCGTGAACTCTCGAGTCCGCCCGAAGCCGAAAAATCGACTTTTCCCCTGTTCCCCGAGAGCCCGATATTTGCGTTGCACTCGGGAGCGCGGCACGGAGGAGCGTCACCGAGAGAACATCCGCGCGGTTTTTCCGGCCACGTTGCTGGCAAATATTTACAGGAAGGTGGAGGTGGTCCTCTTCAAATTCCACTAGCAATCGACGCCACGGAATGCCGAAAATAACTTTAACGATTTCCCTCGGTGTACTCTGAAAATCCATAAACCCGGTAATGACAGGGAACGCGACGCGACGAACCGTTGCAGTCGCGCGTCGGATGGAGGCGAGGTTGTAGAGGAGATCTTAGCGAACCGATGAGAGGGCCGCGACGGTCGTGGATGAATTTTTGTGGTAACGAGAGCAAAGAGTAAAGGAGAACAGAACAGGGGATAAGAAACGACGAGAGTGGGAAAGAGAGGCGAGCAACTCGGAAAGCCCGTATTTCTTTCCCAGGACGAGCGCCCGGCCGCGCCACGCAGGATTAAGCAATCACACAGGCCGATGGTTCCTCGATAGCGATGCTAATGTCGGGTCGTACGGGCCAAGCACGCGTTTATGGCCCTTCCGTTTGCTTAGGCAAATCGAAGACATTCATGGCGGAAGGGCTCGCTTCTATATCTCCTTTCACGGAGGGCCGAGGATGCAATAAAAACTATGACGGTCCTCGTCTAATCTTTTTAACGGTGAAACCTACTCCTGCGGCAATGCGTAACGTACCAATTTGCCGCGGACGTTTTATCCTCCGGATCGCCGTTACCAAATAATGGCTCGCGCAACAACGTAAACACCGGACGAGAGACACAACTCCACCCCGTCTCGCGTCGACGACTCTCGATCGGGCAACGGAGCGCGCGATTGGACGCGGTCCCCGAAGCGTAATGGATTCGCGGGAGTTCGAGTGTTTTACTTGTACCGATCCGCGCGAGCAAGCCCGCCGGGGCAAGGTCCAGGCGAGGAAAGACGATCGTGGGATCGAACCGTCGGATGATGGATGGCGACATGTCCGACGTGTTTCCACGCGGCGTCCGACTGTTGTACGTTGCGGGGAATCGACGCGTATCGAACCATACTCGAACCGATCTCACGGTCCGCCCGCGCGCGGATCACCGAGTCCGGATCGAGCCGGCCCGGTTTCGAGATTCTGTCACAACATTTCGCTTCTCCGATTTGTCCGGTGGCGCGCCGTCGATCTCGAATCGATCGGTCACGCCGGCGGGCTCCGTCGTAGGGCGGCGATAGAGTCCGGTAACCCAGCCAGACGCACGTGTTCGGGGTGTACGCGCCGCACGGCGTTTTCGCGGCTCGAAATTTCCGGCAGGCGAAGAAAGACGGCCGATGCGGCGGGCGAGGGAGGACGAGGACGGCCCGCCGAAAGGAGCGCGCGGAATTCGTGAGAAAGCAGAGAGAGGAGTCTCCATACCGATCCCACGAGCGAGCGACGCGTCAGGACAGAAACGCGGAGCCGATGGACGACGGCGGAGGGAGAGGTCGAGCGGAAGGCCTTAACGAAGGACAGGGCCGGAGAGGGTGGGCTTGGTAGCGATTAACTCTTACTTAAGGGGCGCCTTGGCCTCCGCCTCCGCGTCCGCCTCTGCCTCTGCGTCTGCGTCCGCCTCCGCCGTCTCTCTCTTCAAAGATGTCGTGCAACAATGGAGCACTTAAACGCCGCGAATGCTTAAGTCATCTTAACGGGCAATCGGCAGGCGGCACTGCCTCTCCCCAATTATCTCCCCGAGCAAAACAATTAAACGCGACTCGTCGTTACCTACCCGGATCGGCTAATGCCCACTAAAGACGAGGCGAAATCACCTGTAAGCGGCTAAGACTCGGAGCTCGTGGCCCCCTTGCCAGGGACAAAAGGATGTGCATCTTCATCCAATTAGGCGATAATGGAACACGGACGTGCGTTTTGCCACGGGCCCGGCTCATTTTCGATCCTCGCCGATACCTGTCCTCCCTGCCCCTCGCACGGCCCAGCCCGTTTCTCCATTTACGCGGCCTCGTTCTGCTCGATCATCGGCTCCCTCCGATTCGAACAGGCGCGCGGGCGCGCGTCCTGTTCGCGAGGCGTTTTCACAGGAACGAAGCCGCGTTTCGAGAAATATTTCCACGGGACGACGGAGGATAGGTTAACAGGGATTCGTTGGTAGCCGCCGGAGCGAAATACTTCGGCGTGGCGAGCAAGGGGCGGCGGGGGGCGGGGACCGCGGTCCGGAGGCAAAGAGGAAGGCCCCGGATCGCGACAGTCCCGATAACTGTTTACCCGCGTGAAGAGCGTTCGAGCGCGTTACAACTCAAACCTTTTAGCCGTTGTTTGCACGGCGCTTTGTATTCTATTTGTACAACCGCTTAAACAACTCCGGCTGGACGTATAAGCCGGGCTCGAGCCTCCTCGAGGGAGTTGTGCGAACCCTCGATCGACTCTCGAGGGTGCCACTTTCCGGGCCAACCTGTTGACGCTTCGATCCTCCTCGATCTCCTCGTTCCCGTTCGCGTTCTCCTTCGCCGGCTCCTCGTGTCTCTCGCCTGTCCCCCGCCGTTCCCCGCCGCCCCCCCTCCCTCCTCCCCCGCCGTCGG